TTCGAAAACTGGTTCAGTCCTTGGCCTAAAACGGCCTGCCTGGGTCCCTACCGGACGTCCAGGCCCTGTCCAGGATTAATCTTCCTGGTACCTGGCTTCAAACCGGTCCTGTGCGGACGTACCCGGCCTCAACGTCGGCCTGGGTTCGGACAGGTCAAAATCTGTTCGAAAACAAAAGAAAAGGTCCAAACGTTTTTAGGAGCTCAGCCTCTGGGCCTAAATCTGGCCCTGGACCTAGAAGYGTGTACCTGGCCACAAAACGGACAACAGTACACCCGTTAGAAAAACAGCAGCAAATAAATAAAATAAAGACTATAAAAATAATCTAAAGCTGGCGTTTTTCTGATGCAGGCCCAAGTAAAAATGCCATAGGGCCTTCAGGTTGCGGTGACGCGACCTGGGGGCCCTATTCCAACCTCGGGTCCCGTGAGGGGCCCGTGTGTAGGCTTTCAGCATGTAACAATTTCCTAGTAAATTCCTACCACTGTGGTGAGAGATTGCGGGATGCCCACTTCCAGTTCTCCAAGGGTAGTCTCCAATCTCGGGCGAACGGCATTCTTCAATCGCTCATCAGGCAGGTTGAGGTTAGCAATTCAAGCAAGAATGTGGCCGTCCACACGAGGCAGATCAAATTGCTCACAAGGACATTTCAGCTCCAGCAAGAAGAAGAAGAAGAAGAAGAAGAAGAAGAATGGTGAAGAAGAAGATGAATTCTACAGTGAATAACATAGGTATTTGAATTTTCTTGAACCTCCTCCACTTAGTTGCAATCCTGCTAAATGTTTTGATCTCAGGTGGGACTGCGATAGTCATGATTGCATTGTTGAATTAAGCTTGGGTCAATTCGGCAAGTTTGCACCACCACATGATTATTATACATACAAAAACATATATGTGTTGTTTTTCTTATGGTATTCCCTTGTTTCCAGGGCTGGTTGCCGGATGGACCGGGGACCCCTACCCCATCCGCGGTCCTTCCGGTTGGACCGGCGGGTGGCCCGGGCCGGTTTCCTCCCAGTTGGCCCCAGCGCATTTTCGCTGGGGGCTGAATTTTTTTTTTGTGTCGGCGCGTATGTGTTCCCAAGGCCTCGTTGGGGCGGGCCCTACCCCGCAATTTCGAAACAGGGTCCTGTAGGCCCAGATTTTTCAAGTACAGAAAGTGGCCAATCTTGGCCGCCGATCGTCGCAGATCAGCGGCAAAGATCGGCCAGGACCCCATTTCTATAAAAAAAACGGGCAGACGATATCCGCCGCTGATCTATGCAGATCAGCAGCGGAGAACAGCCATGCATTTTTCCTAAGATGTGGGTCGGGTAGGCCCCTAATCCAATTTGTCATCTTGTGGTCCAATGGACCAGTTACCATTGCCAACATCTGATGCTCTTTCACCCTCAGCCACGAGGGGAACACTATGCTTCTGATGAGACTCTGCTGAGATTATATCCTTCTGCGACGTCCCTGCCATCTGTGGAAAAAAGTTATGGGTTCGGATTTTGGAATTGTGATTTCAGAGCCGTCCGAGGTGCAATCCCAAGAATGGACCTAAAATATAGGGCGTTGCTGCACTGCTCTCGACATGCACAAAAGACAAAAATCTTGGCGGTGTATCTTTCCGAATTCTAGCGGAAGATTCACTCGCGTTTTGCACATTTCGAGAGTAGTGCAGCGAGGCCCATATTCTTCTCTCTATCTATCTCGAATGGACCTTGCTCCACTACATGTATCTGGACAGACTGCCTGACAAGATACTTCCGAGGTGCAATCCCAAGAATGGACCTAAAATATAGGGCGTTGCTGCACTACTCTCGACATGCACAAAAGACAAAAATCTTGG